TGGGAATCATATTATTTAAGGAGAGATAAAGAAGCTAAAATATTTAGGAAAAAAGATTCAGGGAAATATGATAAGCAGCTGCCTCTTTTTTTTTTTTTTTTTTTTTTTTTTAAGAATTAGAGGTCTGGGTACAGTGGCTCACACCAGTAATCCCAACACTTCGGGAGACCAAGGCAGGAGGATTGCTTGAGCCCAGGAATTCAAGACCAACTTGGGCAACATAGCTAGATCTTCTCTCTACAAAAAATAATTTTAAAAATCAGCCAGGCAGGACAGCTGTGGTGGCTTACATCTGCAACCCCAGGACATTGGCAGGCTGGGGTAGATGGATTACTTAAGGTTAGAAGTTGGAGAACAGCCTGGGCAACATGGCAAAACCACATCTCTACTAAAAATACGAAAATTAGCCAGCGTGTTGGTGCACACTTGTAATCACAGCTACTTGGGAAACTGAGACAGAAGAATCACTTGAACCTGGGAGCTGGAGATTTGCAGTGAACCAAGATTGTGCCACTGTACTCTAGCCTGGGTGACTGAGTGAGACTCTGTCTCAAAATAATAATAATAATAATAAATTAGCCAGGTGTGGTGGCACACACCCGTAGTCCTAACTACTTGAGAGGCTAGCTAGGAGTATCCCTTGAGCCCAGGAGTTTGAAGCTGCAATGAACTATGATCATGCCACTGCACTCCAGGCTAGGCAACAGACCAAGACCCTGTCTCAAAAAAAAAAAAAAAAATTAATTAAAAAAATTATAAAGTAGAAAAAGAATTGCATAGAAATTGAATAAAAGCAGAATTTGACTCAGTTTCAGAAAGAACTTTCTAATAAGCAAAACTTTACACCATAAGTAGAGCCTGCCTTGCAGAATAATTGGAAACCTGCCATCAGAAGTATTCACCCAGAGGACCTTCCTACATCGCCTGGTGAGTCACTGGACTAAAGGCACATTGTGATTGTTATTACTCCAAGTGGCCACAAGATGGCAGCAGCAGAGAACATCCCACAGGTGATTAAGTAGAAAAAGTAGAAAATTCTAGCTGTTTCCACAATTTTTTATTTTTTATTTTTTATTTTTACTTTTATTTTATTTTTTTCAGGTGAAGTCTCACTCTGTCACCCAGGCTGGAGTGCAGTGGCACAACCTTGGCTTACAGCAACCTCCACCTCCTGGGTTAAAGCGATTCTACTGCCTCAGCCTCCCGAGTGGTTGGGGTTACAGGCGCCCACCACCATGCCCCGCTATTTTTTGTATTTTTAGTAGAGATAGGGTTTCACTATGTTGGCCAGGCTGGTCTCGAACTCCTGGCCTCAGGTGATCCACCTGCTTCAACTTCCCAAAGTGCTCGGATTACAGGCATGAGTCACCGCACCTGGCCATTTCCACAAATTTGATTCTGAACTCTAACTGTGATGATAAGTGTTATGTCCATTATTATAAGCCCTTATAGATTTCTGACACACAAAACTGAGAAAGTAGAAACATTTCCCCCAAATTTTATATCTTACTATTAGAAAATAAGGAATCTGAAGGTCGGGTGCGGTGGCTCATGCCTGTAATCCCATCACTTTGGGAGGCTGAGGCAGGTGGATCACCTGAGGTCAGGAGTTCCAGACCAGCCTGGCCAACATGGCAAAACCCTATCTTTAGTAAAAATACAAAAATTAGCCAGGCGTGGTGGTGCACACCTGTAATCCCAGCTACTCGGGAGGCTAAGGCAGGAGAATCGCTTGAACCCAGGAGGCAGAGGTTGCAGTGAGCCAATATTATATCACTGCACTTGGGCAACAGAGCAAGACTCCGTCTCAAAAAAAAAAAGAAAAAAAGAAAGAAAGAAAAGAATCTCAGAGGTAGAAAGAGGTAAGCCCTGATCAGTGAGGTTTATCCTGAATCAGAGAAAATGTGCTTCTTACATTCTGATCATGGTGCTACTTCCATCTGACTGCACAGTTTCCAAGCCTAATCATTGTGTACCTTCCAAGAGAGGGAGTCTGTATTTGAAATAGCCTCAATAATGAGGCTGCACATTAGTCTCAGCCTATGTTGGCTTATGGTTCTCACAGAAAAAATTATCCACACTGCTAATCTTCTTGCTGCACCAGCCTCAAAGTCTACAGAAAGACGTCTCAGCTCTAGGAGCTTGAATAACACCTCTACTGGGGAACTGAAATATACCAGTGATTCAATGAAGCAGATTAATATCAGAGTTCTCTTTGCAACCCTGAGGCCAGTCAATCCTACCAGCCCTTGCCTCCATCTGTGGTGGCCAGCCTCCAAGATGGCCCCCTATGATCTTTTCCTCCTGATATCTATGCCCTCGTATCGTCCCCATCACACTGAATAATGGCTCGTCTGCGTGACTGACAAGATATGTAGAAGTAATGGTGCATTTCTTCTAAGGCTAGGCCATTAAAGACACTTACAGCTTCTTATGCCATGCTATCTTGGATCATTCACTATGGAGGAAACCAGCTGCCATATTGTGAGGACACTCAAGCAGCCCTATGGAGAGGTCCACATGGGGAAGAACTGGGGTTTCCTGCCAATGGTCAGCAGTTTGCCAACCACATGAGGTCCTCTAGCCCCATTCAAGCTGGCAGATGGCCACAGCCCTAGGTAACATCATACGAGACCCCAGGTCTAAACTGCTCAGATCTGTTTCTCCTGAATTCCTGAAGCACTGAATCTGAGATGTTCATTTTTGTTTTAAGCTACTGTGTTGTTTTGCTTTTGAGATAGGGTCTTGCTCTGTCACCCAGGCTGGAGTACAGTGGCACAATCTCCCTCACTGCCACCTCCACCTCCTGGGTTCAAGTGATTCTCATGCCTCAGCCTCCCAAGCAGCTGGGATTACAGGCACGTGTCACCATGCACAGCTAAATTTTTTTTTTTTTTGGAGACGGAGTCTCGCTCTGTCGCCCGGGCTGGAGTGCAGTGGCTGGATCTCAGCTCACTGCAAGCTCCACCTCCCAGGTTTACGCCATTCTCCTGCCTCAGCCTCCCGAGTAGCTGGGACTACAGGCGCCCACCACCTCGCCCAGCTAGTTTTTTGTATTTTTTTTTAGTAGAGATGGGGTTTCACCGTGTTAGCCAGGATGGTCTCGATCTCCTGACCTCGTGATCCGCCCATCTCGACCTCCCAAAGTGCTGGGATTACAGGTTTGAGCCACTGCGCCCGGCCAGTTTTTTGTATTTTTAATAGAGATGTGGTTTTGCTATGTTGGCCAGGCTGGTCTTGAACTCCTGACCTCAAGTGATCTGTCTGCCTCGGCCTCCCAAGGTATTGGGATTACAGGTGTGAGCCACTGGGCCCGGCTTAAGCTACTAAGTTTTAAAGTAATTTGATATGCAGCAACAGGTAACTAATACAACACCCCAAATGCCACCATCCCTGACCATATCCACTCTCTTCTCACTTTCCTCTCTGTACTCTGGCCACTGTCCTTACTATTCTGGCTAAGTAATAATAACCTGCTAACTTTGAAACATAATAGACATTTTCCAGACCTTGCGTTACTGCATCTCTCTGCATAATATTTACCATGGGAAGAATCTTCTTGAAAATTCCTATTCTCTGACTTCCTTGACACTGTTCTAACCTTATTCTCCTGATTTTCTCATTCAGGTCTTCCTGTCCGAATGAAAAAATCATTCAGGTTTTCTCCTGAATTGTTCTCCTGAACAATTTTTCATTCAGGTCTTTCTCCTTCAAAGATGCTCCTTTTCCACATGATACATAAAATGTTGGCCTTATGTCAAATTCGATTCCTGTTCTCTCCTTTTGACCCTGAACAAACTCCTTGGGCTGTCTTGCTGTTCCTCTAGTTCCAATGACCATCACTTTGAAGATGACCACCAAATCCATCTCTCCAGCCCACATCGCAGTCCTGAACCTCATACCCTTGAACCTCATACCCTTAAATCCACCTACCCACAGGCAGTGGTGTGCTGCAGCCTGCTTGTACCAACTTGTGAGAGCCAAGAGTGCACGTCTCTTCTCAATTCTATATTTAGCAATGCCACATTGGCAGCTTGAATACCAATGGTGGGAGTGTTGACATTGTGGAATTCAACAAATGCTACAAATTGGAACTTTTTCCACTATAAGCCAGTTGATAAACATTTGCCAGCACCCCACTGCTCTTACCAGATGCTTCTGCCTTCTGTGTCCCATAAATACCTCAATTCAACATGTCCCAAAATGTATTTTCTCATTCATTCAAAAATACTGGCTGTGTTGCCTCAAGCCTGTAATCCCAACACTTTGGGAGGCTGAGGCGGGTGAATCACCCGAGATCAGGACTTCAAGACCAGCCTGGCCAACATGGTGAAACCTCATCTCTACAAAAATACAAAAATTAGCCGGGCATGAAGGCAAGTGCCTGTAATCCAAGCTATTTGGGAGGCTGAGGCAGGAAAATTGCTTGAACCCAGGAGGCAGAGGTTGCAGTGAGCTGAGATCCTGCCATTGCACTCCAGCCGGGGCAACAGAGCAAGACTCTATCAAAAAAAAAATTATAACTGTTTTTTCAAGTTCTGTGTGAAGGATAAATATTCTCTGCCTTCAATAAACTTATTCTCTGTTGGAGGAGGCAGAAAGGTTCAACAGGCAATCTCAATAGCATAGTAAACGCTGTCTCACATGTTCTTGTGAAGAGACCACCAAATAGGCTTTGTGTGAGCATCAAGGCTGTTTATTTCACCTGGGTGCAGGAGGTGGGCTGAGTCCGAAAAAGGAGTCAGCAAAGGGTGGTGGGATTATCATTAGTTCTTAAAGGTTTGGGATATGTGTACAAAGTACTTTCTTAAGGAATATCAGGAGAAGAATATTACAAAGTACCTTCTTAAGGGCTGGGGAGAATGTAACTTTTCAGTTAGGGTAGGGCAGGAACAAATCACAATGGTGGAATGTCATCAGTTAAGGCTATTTTCACTTCTTTTGTGGATCTTCAGTTGCTTCAGGCCATCTGGATGTATAGACGTAGGTCACAGAGGATATGATGGCTTAGCTTGGGCTCAGAGGCCTGATATTCCTGTCTTCATATATTAATAAGAAAAACAAAACAAAATAGTGGTGAAGTGTTTGGGTAGCAAAAATTTTGGGGGGTGGTATGGAGAGATAATGGGCAATGTTTTTCAGGGCTGCTCCAAGTGGGATTAGGGGCGATATGGGAACCTAGAGTGGGAGAGATTAAACTGAAGAAAGATTTTGGGGTAAGGGATGATATTGTGGGGTTGTTAGAAGGAGCATTTGTGGTATAGAATTATTGGTGATGGCCTGGATGCAGTTTTGTATGAATTGAGAAACTAAATGAAAGACACAAGGTCTGAATAAGAGAAGGAGAAAAACAGGTATTAAAGGACTAAGAATTGGGAGAACCCAGGACATCCAATTAGAGAGCGCCCAAGGGGGTTCAGCATAATTATTTGCTTGGTTGGCGAGTTTTGGGGCTCTATCCTTGGGTTTTTTTATGTTGTCATATACCAGGTCAGATTGATTTAGGTAAAAACAACACTCTTCATTTAAAAATATACAGAGTCCTCCTTTTTCAGCAGTGAGTAAATTGAGGCCTTGGCGATTTTGGAGGAAAGAGAAATGCAAAGCCAGCAATTGTTTGTTAAACAAGGATTAGAAATGGCTAGGAGAGAGTGAGTGAGATTGATAGTGTGGTGGAGATAGCTGGAGAGAGGTAGAGGGTGGCATAAGAACAGGAACGAGAATAAGAGTGAGTATAACAGTAAAGAATAGGACTTCATCAGGGTGAAAGTGTTGGAATGTGTCCTGTCAGCAAAGATCATCTATCCACTCCAAGAGGGAGTCAAGAGTGGAGGATTGGGGATAGATATTCACGATGGAAAGGAAATGACAGGTTTTAAGAGGTGGACTTAATGGCTTGTAACCTACATGGAAGAGGTTATGAAATGACGACAGAATAGAATGGGCCTGTGAGGCTGGAAGGAGATATTTTCCTTGGTTCAAGAACAATTTGCCCTGTGTGGGAAGAGATTGATAGGTGGAAACTTCAGTAGGAGAATAAATAGGAGTGACCAACTAGAAGGTGAAAAACTGGCCATGAGGGACAGAAGTTGGAATGCTAGCTGCTTCTTTAGCTACCTTATCAGCATAAGCGCTGCCCTGAGTGATGGGATCTGATGCCTTTTAGTGGCCCTTGCAGTGTATGACTCCAGCTTCCTTTGGAAGTAAAGTGGCCTTAAGAAGAGTTTTTATTAAAGAGGCATTAATGATGGAGGACCCTTGCATGGCGAGGAAACCTCTTTAAGCCCATATAACAGCATGGTGGTGCGGGATATGGAAGGCATATTCAGAGTCAGTATAATATTGACACGTAGTTCCTTTGCAAGAGTGAGGGCTCGAGTTAAGGCAATGAGTTTGGCTTGCTGAGAGGTAGTGGAGTGCGGCAGAGTGGTGGCCTCAATGATAGATATGGAAGATACTATAGCATCGCCTGCCTTTGCTGGTGAGTGGTGATTAGGCCTGGTGGGACTGCCATCAATAAACCAAGTGTGATCAGGGTGAGGAACATGAAAGAAGGAAATATAGGGAAATGGAGTGAATGTCAGGTGGATCAGAGAGATACAGTCATGGGGGTGGGGGCCAGCCTAAAACAGTAGGGTCAAGTTGTTTGGACAGAAAGGCTACAGGGCGTGGTCCCGGCTCTTATGTAATAATTTTGACCACACAGCCCTGTACTTTGGCTGTGTGTAATGAAAAGGGTTGGGATGAGTTAGGGAGAGCTAGTGTGGGGGCAACTTCTAGGGCTGTTTTTAAGGAACAGAAAGAGGAGTGGTGAAAGGATTTAGGATCTGTGGGGTCAGCTAGGCTTGGTTTTGTGAGTTTATATAATGGTTTCGTTAGGATGGCAAAACCAGGTATCTAAAGGCAAAAGAATCCTACCACGCCCAGGAAGGAAAGGAGTTGCTGTTTTGTAGAAGGGGTTAGGGCTTGGGAGATTAGCCAGACACGATCAGCAGGGAGAGCATGTATGTTTTCATGAAGAACTATGTTGGAATAGGTAATAGATGAGGAAGAAATTTGGGCTTTACTGAAGTAATGGGAGCTGTCTGTGAAGCCTTGCTGCAGTACAGCCCAGGTAATTTGCTGAGCCTGATGCGTATCAGGGTCAGTCCAAGTGAAAGCAAAGAGAAGTTGGGATGAAGGGTGCAAGGAATAGTAAAGAAAGCAGGTTTGAGAGCTAGAACAGAATAATGGGTTATGGAGGGGTTGTGGAGGGAGGTATCGAGGATAGGAGAGTCTATGGGTTTGGCACCATGGGGTGGATAGGCAAGACAATTTGGTTGATAAGGCACAGATTCTGAACTGACCTGTAAGGCTTGTCCAGTTTTTGAACAGGTAAAATGGGAGAATTATAAGGAGAGTTTATAGGCTTTAAAAGGCCATGCTGTAACAGGCAAGTGATAATAGGCTTTAATCCTTTTAAAGCATGCTGTGGGATGAGATATTGGCATTGAGCGGGGTAAGGGTGATTAGGTTTTAATGGGATGGTAAGGGGTGCATCATCCGTCGCCAAGGAGGACGAATTATACTTGTGAATTAAGGTGGGGAGATACAAGGAGAGGATGTGAAAGAGGCTTTGAACCAGGGCAACAGACGGCAATGAGGTGTGGCTGTAACCCAGGAATAGTCAGGGAAGCAGATAATTTAGTTAAAATGTCTCGACTTAATAAGGGAGCTGGGCAGATGGGGATAACTAAAAAGGAGTGCATTAAAGAATGTTGTCCAAAGTGGCACCAGAGTTGGGGAGTTTTAAGAGGTTTAGAAGCCTGGCCGTCAATACCCACAACAGTTACGGAGGCAAAGGAAACAGGCCCTTGAAAAGAAGGTAATGTGGAGTGGGTAGCCTCCGAATTGACTAAGAAGGGGACGGACTTACCCTCCACTGTAAGAGTGACCCGAAGCTCAGCGTCCGTGACGGTCCAGGGGGCGTCCAAGGCGATCGGGCAGCATCAGTCTTCAGCTGCTAAGCCAAGGAGATCTGGGAAGGAGTCGGCCAAGGAACGTTAGGTTTGGGCTCCAGGGGCTTTAGGAGCGGCGGCGATGTGAGTTGGACAGTCTGACCTCCAGTGGGGGCCCGCACAGACAGGGCACGGCTTAGGAGGAATCCTGGGCTGCGGGCATTCCTTGGCCCAGTGGCCAGGCTTTTGGCATTTGAAGCAAGGTCCACGAGGATGTTTTGAAGGAGGCCCTGGGAGCTGTGGCTTGGATGTTCTGAAGTTTTTGTATGTTGGAGACGTGGTTGTGGGTTGTCTTACAGCAGAGGTAATGTAACTCAGAAATGCGTTGCTGTCTGGCTACCTCCTCTCTATTATTTACACCTTGAAGGCGAGGTTGATTAATTCCTGTTGTGGGGTTTGAGGCCGGATTCCAATTTTTGCAGCTTTTTTCTAATGTCAGGAGCTGACTGGGTGATAACATGCATATTAAGAATAAGGCGGCCTTCTGGCCTCTCTTGGTCTAGGGCGGTAAAGCGTCTAAGGGTTGCTGCTAAGCAGGCAATGAACTGGGCTGGGTTTTTGTCTTTACCTTAGGTAGTTTCTTTAAGTTTATCATAATTAACAGCTTTGTAAGCTGCCTTTTTAAGCCCTTCAAGTCGGCAGGAAACCATGTAATCTCACCTAGCTATACCTGGGGAATCTGCCTGACAGTTCCATTGGGGGATCTTCTCAGGAACTGCTCTAATGCCTTCCTGGAGGTCTGGCTCATGAAGCCGGCGATTATCAGCGTGAGATTGGGCTAGAGAAAAAACTCTTTCCCCCTCATCTGGGGAGAGGGTAGAAGTTAGGATGACATTTAAGTCACTCCAGATTAAATTGTAGGACAGAGTTAGATATCGGAATTCCTGTATATATTTAGTGGGGTCTGATGAGAAAGAGCCTAAACGCTGGCTGATCTGGGAAAGGTCTGATAGAGAAGAAGGCACATGTGCCCTGACTATGCCTTCAGCTCCAGCCACCTCTCTAGGAGGAAATAGTTGGGCAGGTGGGGGAGAGCTAGTTGCAGAACGAAACTGTAAACCAGACCAGGTGTGAGGAGGGGAGGTGATAGAAAGATTAGAGGGTGGGGGAGCAGAGGCTGAGGAAGAATTGGGGCCTGGCTCGGCCTGGCGAGGAGCAGCCTGGGGAGAAGGGGAGAGGCCAGATGAGTCTAGAAAAGGAGGATTCAAAGGACTCAGAGCTTGGGGTGGAGACTGAAGGAACAGACAGGAGAGAAAGAAGAGCTATTTGGGATGAGTCACATTGGGAGCAGAGACTAGGGAGGGACCAACGTGTAAAAGAATGCCTGGACATCAGGCACCTCAGACTATTTGTGCATTTTTCAACAAAAATTACCTAGACCTTGTAAAATGGAGAAATCCAAAGTGCGGTTTTCTGGCTATTTAGAACCATTATCGAGTTTGTATTGGGGTCAAGTGGTATTGCAGAAGAAAATAAGACTCTTAGATTTTAGGTCAGGTGAGAGTTGAAGAGGTTTTAAGTTCTTGAGAACACAGGCTAAGGGAGAAGAAGGAGGAATGGAGGGTGGAAGATTGCCCATAGTGAAGGAGGCAAGTTTAAAGAGAAGAGTAGAGACATGGAGAGAAGGGGTGGGGGGTGCTTGCCCCCCAGGAAAGTGGAAATGGGGTGGGAGGTGTTTGCCCCCCAGGAAAGTGGAAGAGGGGTGGGAGGCACTTGGTCCCCAGGAAAGTAGAAAACGGGCGGAGACAGGGAGAGAAGGGGTGGGGGGTGCTTGCCCCCCAGGAAAGCGGAGAGAAAAGAGAGGGTAGAGACATGGAGAGAAGGGGTAGCGTGAGTAGTCCTGGGCTGCAATGTGGGTGAGCAGCCAAAGCAGGCGTCCCCGCAATTGACTTGCCACCAAGGGAATGTGGGTGAATGATCAAGGCAGGCATCCCCGCGGAGATCAGACACCAATGGAATGTGGGTGAATAATCAGGCAGGCATCACGGCAACGATTAAACACCAAGGGAAGGCTGCCTTCCTGAGTCTGTGACCGGCGCCGGAATTTTGGGTCCACGGATAAAATGTGTCTCCTTTGTCTCTATCAGAAAATGAAAGGAACTGAAATTAAGAGAAAGGAGAGATTGAAGGGTGGCGCCAAGATTGAAAGGAGAAAGAGGTTGAGGGATAGTGAGAGAAGCTGGAGAAGAGAGTAAAAAGAGGTTGCTTACTCGATTTAAAATCGGTGAGATGTTCCTTGGGCTGGTTGGTCTGAGGACCCGAGGTCGTAGGTGGATCTCTTCACGGAGTGAGGGTGAGGACAGGGGACTGGTCTCCCGAAGGAGTCCCGCTGACCCGGGTCTTCGGCACCAAATGTCTCACGCGTCCATGTGAGGAGACCACCAAACAGGCTTTGTATGAGCGACAAGGCGGTTTATTTCACCTGGGTTCAGGCGGGCTGAGTCCAAAAAAGGAGTCAGCAAAGGGTGGTGGGATTAGCATTCTTTCTTTCTTTTTTTTTTTTTTGAGACGAGTCTCCCTCTGTCGTCCAGGCTGGAGTGCAGTGGCGGGATCTCGGCTCACTGCAAGCTCCGCCTCCCACGTTCATGCCATTTCCTGCCTCAGCCTCCTGAGTAGCTGGGACTACAGGCGCCCACCACCTCGCCTGGCTAATTTTTTTTGTATTTTTTTAGTGGAGACGGGGTTTCACCGTGTTAACCAGGATGGTCTCGATCTCCTGACCTCGCGATTCGCCCGCCTTGGCCTCCCAAAGTGCTGAGATTACAGGCGTGAGCCACCGCGCCTGGCCGGGATTATCACCAGTTCTTATAGGTTTGGGATAGGCGTACAAAGTACCTTCTGAAGGGTGCCCGGGAGAATATTACATAGTACCTTCTTAAGGGCGGGAGGGGGAGCATATTACACAGTACTTTCTTAAGGGCTGGGGAGAATATACCTTTTCAGTTAGGGTAGGGCAGGAACAAATCACAATGGTGGAATGTCATCAGTTAAGGCTGTTTTCACTTCTTTTGTGGATCTTCAGTTGCTTCAGGCCATCCGGATGTATACATGCAGGTCATGGGGATATGATGGCTTTTGGGCTCAGAGGCCTGACAAATGCTCCAGCTGGAGTAAGCAGTAGATGTTCAGGGAGCACAGAGCAGGGGAAGACTTGAAAGGGGGTGTCTCATCTCAGCCAAGACATGAAGGATTGACAGGAAGTTTCCAGGCAAAGGAAGAACTATGGAAAGGCTCAGTGTTTAGAACAAGCACCCCGTTTGGGGAGCTGCAATTGCTTCAGGTAGGGATGGGCTTGGTATGAGACAAGCAAGGTCGGCTCATGAAAGGCTAGATAAGTCCTGATAATTGCCTCGGGCTATTCCTGAAGGTAGCAAGAAGTTTTTCAAGTATTTTAAAGGACTTGATATGCTTTGTGGAACATTCACTGCAGTTGTAGTCTTGGAAGGGGGCCAAATAGACCCACTCCCTCCTTTGAGAGACTTTCCTCATTTTGGCTTCCAGGAAAACATACACTACAGTTTTGCTTCTACTACCTCTGTTCATTCCTTTGCTGGCCTCTTGTCTTCTCCCTGATTGTTCATGTTGGTGGGTCCCAGGGCTTCCACTTTTTTTTCCTCCAATCTACTCCCAATATGGCAGCCAGATTTAAAACATGAGCCAGATCAGTCCTTTCTCTGCTAAGGACTCTCCAATGGCTTGCTGTTCTACTCAGAGTAAAAGTCAAAGTTCTTACAGTGGTCCCCGAGGCCCTACATGATTGGTCTCCCTTTCTCTCCACCACCAGCTCACTCTGCTGCAGCCACCCTGTCCTGCTTGCTGTCTCCTGTACACACCAGCAATGCTTCCACCTCACGGCCTTTGCACTGGCTCCTCTGTCTGCCCAGAATCCTCTTTGCCCAGATATCCTGTGGTTCTGTCCCTGATCTTCAAGTCTCTGTTCAAATGTCACCTTCTCAATGAGACTTTTCCTGACTGCCCGATTTAAAATTGCAACATTTCCTTCTATCCTGACACTTATGATACCCATTTCCCATTCCCTTTTCTTTCTTTCTTTGTAGCCCTTATAACCTTTTTACATCTTACATAATCTCTGAATTTGTTATGTTTATAGCTTATTGACTCTTACTCCCACTAGGATGTAAATTCCACAGAGATGGAGCTCTTGGTGTCTTGTTCACTGATACAATCCGAAAGTCTCTTAGGATGTTTCCAGCTACACCCTGAGGCTTTCCCCAAGAATTCCCCTCTACCTGGAGGGGACTGTTCCCAAGTCCATGAGCCCAGAAGATCCCTCAGAGACCATATAACCTGGAGATGATAAAGCTGCCTAAGACATAGCTGATTATGAAGGAGAGAACCCTGGAATTTGAGCAGATAAGGTGGATGTGGAGTTAACTGAACATTTCCCAGCTCTGTGATCTTGGGCAAGTCACCCCACCTCACTGAGATTCAATTTCTTTCCCTGTGAAATGAGGTTAATATTTGTCCCTCCTGCCTTGCAGCATGTGGTGGAAGTGTGGCCTTTTAGTTTAAATCTCTGTGCTTTGGCAGGGCTCGATGGCTCACACCTGTAATCCCAGCACTTTCAGCTGCCGAGGCAGGTGGATCACCTGAGGTCAGGAGTTTGAGACCAGCCTGGTCAACATGGTGAAACCCTGTTTTTACTAAAAATACAAAAATTAGCCAGGTGTTGTGGTAGGTGCCTGTAATCCCAGCTACTCGGGAGGCTGAGTCAGGAGAATCGCTTGAACCCGGGAGGCAGAAGTTGCAGTGAGCCAAGATCCCGCCACTGCACTCCAGCCTGGGTAACACAGCAAGACTACGTCCCCGATAAATAAATAAATAAATAAATAAATAAATCCCTATGCTTCAATATCCTAAGGAAAAGACCCACCTGCGGCTTATGATAACACAATGGCTATGTCTATATTTGTGCCAATTGGCCTTGATGATAAAATGTCTGCTGTGGGGGAGGATATATTTGTGTTCAAAATTCAGAGATCCTGAGAGCATCAGGATGAGGTGGAGAAAGAGTGAGATTATGGTGTTCCAGGCAGAATGGGCAATATTCACAAAGGTGGAGAAGGGATGTTCATGCCACGGTCAGGGGCTACTGATATGGGGAACCTAGGCATTGAGAGGATCAACCACTTTCCAGAAGTCCTAATAGACCCTCCATGGACTCTAGGATTTTCAAGTCCCAGGCCAGCACCTTCCTAATCACTCTTGTCTTCTCGAAGAGTGATAAATGAAGTTGTTTTCATAATACAGTGACATTTTCAGGTCCATTTCCTCAGACTCACTGCATACTTCATGAACCATCGCACTCCTGTTCAAGCATCTGGGCTGCATCTGCATCCAGTCTCCAAGGGTCTTATCAGAACAGGAGGTAAACCCAGGTTATTGTCCCAACTTTGCCAGTCACTTGGGTCCCTGACTATTCCACAGCTCTGAGTCATAGATCACCATTTCTCTTTTAACCTAGTGGCACAAGTTTATGACTAGTTGGATCATTGCTTTTTATACCTTATTAGCTTTGTCTAGGGTTTATTAGTCTGTAATTTCAGATTGGGCCCCAGGGGTATTTCTGAATATAATTGTGTGTTTTGTGTGGGGGTGAGTATGCATGCAGGGATAGTCTATGGCTTTAAATCTGAAGTTTAACTGGAAATAATAATAATAATTACTAATTAACAATATAGATTAATATAAAATTTTATTGATGAAAATAATAGCAGCAGCCATCATTTATTGTGTGCTTATTATTTGCCAGCCACCATATTAATTTGAGGTAGGGACCATTTAAGGGTAAGAAAATCAACCACACAACATCAGTGATGGAGCTGGGATTCAAATCCAGGCTGACCAAAGAGTTCACTCTATTCTTTACAATCACTGCATCCTCAAACAATCCCCTCCTCCATAGCTCTTGTTTTTCTTCAGTAATGGTTCCCAACTCTTTGCTGTCTGGACACACTAGACAGATGATATTTGGCCAGAATAACCCAGTTCTGAGGCCCAGCTCCAATTTTTAGTGCATCCTGCCAAGTTGTCTGTTGGCTGGCTCTATTTCCATCTGCAGCTCTCACTGACTATGGCCCAGCAGTGTATCCAACAACATTGTGTGAACCTCTGCTTTAGGAGAAAGGCCATACCCTCCAGTCCACTCTGGCTCCACTCCACATCCCCCTCCTAACTTCTCATACTTCCCCCTTTGAAATCTCCCCTTGAGTTAGGCCAAGTATGGTTCTGGAGAGGCCTTACAGGTGATGTTCTCCTGACCTGGAATAAGCTCTGCGTCCTTTTCAGCTATTCATGCCACCAGTTCACATTCCTACATTTTCCAGGAACCCTTGTTGTACCAAGCAGGGTTCTCAGGTTGCCAACCACAGAAGCAGACCCTTAAAAGACCTTATTGGAATGATATGGGAAAGCTCGCAGAATTTACAGAATCTGAACCGGCAGGCCCCAGGAAGAGCAGTTAGGGGACCTGAGGAGTCTAAGTAGCAGGAGTTAATGGGAGGTCCCTTCAGAGAGCTTCCATCCAGGATAGATTTTCTACCCTCATGTTCCTGTACTCAAGATTCAAATCCCAGCCGGGTGGGGTGGCTCATGCCTGTAATCCCAGTACTTTGGGAGGCCGAGGCAGGCAGATCACGTGAGGTCAGGAGTTTGAGACCAGCCTGGCCAACATGGCAAAACTCTGTCTCTACTAAAAATACAAAAATTAGCCAGGGTGGTGGCACGCACCTGTAGTCCCAGCTACTCCGGAGGCTGAGGCAGGAGAATCACGAACCCGGGAGATGGAGGTTGCAGTGAGCCAAGATCATGCCACTGCACTCCAGCCTGGGCGATGACAAAGCGAGACACCGTCTCAAAATAAAAAAAAAAAGATTCAAATCCCTGGAAGAGAGAGTGTGAATGGCCTAGTTTGGGTCTTTGGGCCACACATACCCATTGACCATAGCACTTTAATTCATAGTCCCACCAAGTCCACCCACATGCAACTAGTTGGGGAGAGTTTCTTAAGGGATAATTAAAGTGCTGCAATCAGGCTGGGCTCAGTCATTCAATCCTGTAATCCCTGTACTTTGGGAGGCCAAGGAGGGCAGATTACTTGAGGTCAGGAGTTTGAGACCAGCCTGGACAATACGGTTAAACCCCGTCTCTACAGAAAATATAAAAATTAGCCAGGGATGGTGGTGCACACCCGTAATCCCAGATACTTGGGAGGCTGGGACATGAGAATCACTTGAACCCAGGCCAGCCTGGGTAACAGAGTGAGACCTTGTCTCAAAACAAAAAGAAAAAAACAGTGCTGCAACCAGAAGAGGGGAGAAGAGATGCTGAGCAGGCTGGACACTAAGGCCACAGCCGTCTCTCCCTTTTCTTAAGCCTTAGACCCACACTGCCATTTTCCCTATTGATGGGCTCTCACTGACCTGCCTTACCTAGTGTTGTTATTTAAACGTGTGCTGCAAAATTCCTGTCATAGCCATCATTGTGCTTGCTTCAGAGCACATATGTTACCTTCCCCCAAAGTTGGGAAACTCCTGGGAGGCAAGAGCTGAGGCTCCTAAGTCCACAGGTTTGCTCAGAGCCAAACTATGGGCCAATTAACAGGTTTTAGGGACTGGCTGAGTGACCAGCTGCATGTTTGCATGTTGGGTGGAAGAGCAGGATACCAAGATGGTGAGGTAAGTGGGAAGCTTTCCCTGGAGAACTTTTTAACCCCCAGAATACACCTATTCTCCAGTGAAAGCAACTAAGTCAAGGGGTTCCGGGAGAATTAGATAAAAGGATTGCAGCTCAAGACTGGCTCCATTAGGCCGGGTTCTTCTAGACTCCCACCATGGCCATACATACTTCTGAAAACTGTTGCTGTCATTAAATCTCCTGTTGTGATTCTTTTTTCCCTCTTAGTTTCTTGTTAAGAGCCTTTATGGGGGCTGCGTGCATGGCTCACACCTGTAATCCCAGTGCATTGGGAGGCCAAGGTCAGAGGAATGCTTGAGGCTAGGAGTTTGAGACCAGCCTGGGCAACATAGTAGACTCCATTTGTGTGTGTGTATATATATTTAAAAAAATTTTTTTTTTTTTTTTTTTAATTAGCAGCACAAGGATTGCTTGGGCCCAGGAGTTTGAGGCTGTAGTAAGCTATGATCATGTCACTGCACTCCAGCCTGGGTAAAAGAGTGAGACCCTGTCTCTAAAAACAAACAACGACAAAAACAAACAGAAAAAAAAGAAGGCTCTTACAAAAAACATTGGCTTTCCTTCTGCTAACCTGCAGTTTGGGAGAGAGCCTGGATAAAGATTCAGGACATGTGGCAACTGGGACCACCTCTGCCCTTAACTGCTTAGCTGGTCATTCATTCAACAAATAAATACTGAGAACCTACTATGTGTCAGGCATTGTTCAAGACACTGCTAAGGATATAGTGGTGAACGAAAGAGACCAAATCTTCTCCATTTCTGTTCTTTCTTGGAGACAGGAGGCCTTCATCAGCTCTCATGGCTTTTTCAGAGCTATCATTCCACAATTATATGAATGAAGGAAAAACAATTTTCTCTCTCTCATTCAAGGCAAAGGGGTATTCAAGGTGCCTCAGGAGATGAAGCAAGTGGTGGCATTTTCTTGGAAATAGTTCAGAATCTGGATGGATGGAGAGAGAAAGAGATTACATAATTAAAAGCCCACAAATGTTAGTTCGTTGCTGGCACACAGTGAACGCAGTGAACACTTACTAAATATCTGTTTGGTGGATGAATCATGTGGGAAAAAGAAGGGGACTTAATGGGTGGCTGCAGGGAGAATTTCCTCACTTTGACTCGAGGCCCTCACGTGTGCCTCTTTCCCTCTCTCCTTGGGAGTACTACTCCCAAGTACTCCTGTCTTGGGAGTACTACTCCTTCTGTAACTCCCCCATCTCCTCAGGCATTTGGACCCAAGTGTTCCAGGCCTGAGAGTCCAGAATTTCCACTCTCTGTGATACAAAGAAGAGGCCCTGGCTCATTATTGACTATAACCCTAGGGGTTTTCCTCTTATGAGGGAAACCCTCCCTCTCTTAATATGCCGGGTCTTCCTAAGAGGAAAGAATGTCTGCTTCCTAGGCACCTAATATAAACATCCTTAATGGATTTAAGCCTGGGGTCACAAGTTCAAGGGCACACAGAAAAAGGCCAGGCAGGTAATGTCAACTGTGACAGACAATAAGGAATGCTGGGGACTGTGGTGACCTGGAGAACTGAGCCTCATGTGAACAGAATCATACTTTTAAAAAGTACTGTGTGGGCCAAAACAGTGGCACTCATGTGTGGGTGTTCGAAGATCAGTGAACTATCAGTTTATGGCATCTATTATTAGAAACAAGCCAGAAAAACTTGTCAACTTTTCATTCTTCTCTTTGCGGCATGTCTCCCTGAGATCACATGGCTGCCTGAATGGAGGGAAAGAAGAGGAGGACATGCCCATCGGAGAATGTAGGTTAATATCTTAAATAGTATTCTACCATACCCACGTTTGGCTTGGATAGAATGTTTTCTTGAGCTAAACTCCATAAAATTCCTATAGAGGCACAATTACTGATTCAAACAAAAGCCGCCTTTGACTATTGAGAGAGGAGTGTCTGGGTCAGAAGGATCAATTTTCTGATGAATCAGTGAGCAATTCTGAGTGGAACTAATCAGGTTTGTGTTGTGTCACCCTTTATTTATAACCCACGGTTCAGTGATCTGAAATCTGACCACTCCTCCTCTGACTTCCCCCCACCTCCTTCTACTCTCCTAACTTTTGCAAATGTACCACATGTGTACATACACAGATAAATACAAAGATGAAGAAAAGCATTTTTCAGAAACAAGAAGGCTCAGAGAGATGCTAGAGCCTTCCTGAACAGTACTGGAAACAACAAAAGATGCAAGGGTGTGATGGCCAGTGGAAGTAATTTAACTCCTCTGCCTCCAGGGAATCACAAGGTCTCAGGAAAACAGCCATGAGTAACAAATTAGTTCCCCAGCAAGGCAAATTCCTGGAGGATTAAAGACAGGGAGTGTTCCCAGCAACACTTCTAGCTACTGATGCCTAGGGATAGTAAGGGCAATCAATTAATTTTTCCCTCAGGATTCCAACTGAGATGCTATCCTATAAAGTATTGGGTCATATTTCCAAAGCCACGTTAGGTCAGGCCTTGGTTACCCATCACATTAGTTAAGGTTATATTGGTTTCAGGGAAAAAAAAGGAAACTTTGGCTGACTTAAACAAAAAGGAGGATTATTGGGAAGCTCCTGTGGGCTTTGATGAAATCAAAAAGAAAGCTGGATAACCACAGCTCAGCAAGGGAAGAAACTGAGCACCAGGAGTTCATGGTTGTGTTGCCATTGATACGATTCTGTTTCAGTGTGCCCAGGCTTTCTGGTTCTTTGGGATAAAAGGATCTTATGGGCCTTGTGACTTAGCTTGGGTTCCCCAAAGGCAGAGGGATTCTGGTGTGATGTACGGAGAGAGTGCTCTCAGGAGAAATCTGTTAAGGGAGTGAGGGAAGCAGGGTGGTACAGGAGACAGAGCTAAGCAAGCCCAGCCTCAGCCTGATCCCATGATGGGACCTGGAGAGTGAATGACATGACTGAGTTATCCCACTTTGAAGCAATGGTGTACCTCTCCCTCCAGGGGAAGAACATACTTTCTCAAGCATTTTTGGGCAAGATGATTCAATAGCAGGGCCACCTGTGAGGTGTTCACAGCTGACATTCACAGCAGCTGGGGGATGGTACACTGCCTAGTCAAGGAGCTCTGGGCAGAGCACCAACAGAATCCACTGCTCCTGGCTTGGGTAAGGTGTCCACTCAACAGCAATTAGCCATTGAGAGAGAGGCAAAGCCTTGAAGTCTAGACATGGCAGCAGGAGCTATTTCCAGAGGAAAGTAAACAGGAGTGATGGGCAGTTATACCAAATGGTGTCCACAGTACCCACTTGAATCACTTCTAATGAAAATGCCCTCCTGGTCAATGTGTACAACTGGCCAGGTGTTTCTTCCTCAGTAAGAAGAATATTTCCCAGGCACTTAACATAATCTCTTTTTTTTTCTTTTTTTTTTTTTGTTTTTCTCATGTCAGACAGGTAATATGTTGACATGGTAACAAGGTTCGAGGGTGGCTCATCTCACACATGGGTGGGAACACCCAATCATCATGCTCATGAACTACAAAAGGATCATCTATTTTTTAAAAAATCTCTCAAACATTGTTTATCATACAAGTAAACCCCAGTTCTCATGATGGGCTTATTGGTAGGATTTCTGGTAGGAAGCATGGGTACCAGGGTCTCTCGATTTTTTGGATTAGTGGTGGTGGAGGTCAGCCACCAGCAGGGTCCAGTCATACTGTATGAGAATGTCTTTGATCTTTGTCTTTGATCTCCTCCTTGGAAAACTCATCCATATACTTCTGGTAATAGGACATCAGGGCTTTAGAGCTAGACTGATGGACAGCATATATCCAGGCCATGTGATCACCACCTTTCACATGGACATGTCCATACCAGCAAATCACCCCTTGTCCAGAAGCAGAACTGGTTCCAGCAGCTCGTATATCAGTGTGTACAGCTCGATCATCTCCAGGGGCCGCCCATTCACCTTGATTGCTGTGTTTGCAGTGTGCCACAGCTGTGGCTGTCTTCTTGCATCTGAAGACCTGCACAAACTGCAATGAGCCCTTGGAAAGCATGGCTACAGGTGTGGATAAGAACTCCTCTCTTTTTTTTCTTTTTGAGACAGGGTCTTGCTTTGTTGCCCAGGCTGGAGTGCAGTGGAGCAATCTCAGCTCACTACAACCTCTGCCTCCTGTGCTCAAGCAATGCTCCTACCTCGACCTCCCGAGTAGCAGGGATTACAGGTGCGTGCCACGAAGCCTGGCTAATTTTTGTATTTTTAGCAGAGATGGAGTTTCACCATGTTGGCCAGGCTGTCTATTTCATTTTTTTTTTTAACATAATCTTAATAGGGAGCTCTCCAGTTTAAACACAGTCCTTGACACTCCCTATCGTCTACCACAATTGATCATATGATAGACTCTTTCTGTGTGCATTTGAGTTTGTGACCCCAGGCCTAAACCCATTAAGGAAGAGTATGTTAGGTGCCTAGGTACATGTGTAGAAGTGGAATTTATGGATTCTGGGGCATGAATGTGTTCAACTTTAGCATATATTGCCGAAGAGTTCTCCAAAATGGTTTTACCATTTGATACTGCTTTTAACAATGTATGAAAGTAGGCTGGGCATGGTGGCTCATGCCTATAATCCCAGCACTGTAGGAGGCCAAGGCGGGCAGATCACCTGAAGTCAGAAGTTCAATACCAGCCTGGTCAACGTGATGAAACCCCATCTCTACTAAAAAAATACAAAAATTAGCCAGGCGTGGTGGTGCATGCCTGTAATCCCAGCTATTTGGGAGGCTGAGGCAGGAGAATTGCTAGACCCCAGGAGACAGAGGTTGCAGTTAGCCAAGATCACACCACTGCATTCCAGCCTGGGCAACAGAGCAAGAGACTGTCCCCAAGCAAACAAACAATGTATGAAAGTTTCACTTGCCCCACATCCTTGCCAGCACTTGGTATTGTCTGTCTTTTTCATTTTACTTAGTCTAGTAGATATGCAGTATTGTCTTATGGTGGTTTAAATTTGTATCTCTAGGCCAGGCATGGTGGTTCACACCTATAATCTCAGCACTCTGGGAGGCTGAGGCAGGTGGATTACTAGGAGTTTGAGACCAGCCTGGGCAACATGGCAAAACCCCATCTCTACTAAAAATAAAAGGAAATTAGCTGGCTACAAGTGGCACATGCCTGTAGTTCCAGCTACTTAGGAGGCTGAGGTGGGAGAATCGCTTGAGTGTGGGAGGTGGAGGCTGCAATGAACCGTGATCTTGCCACTGCACTCCAACTTGGGTGACAGAATGAGACCCTGTCTCAAACAAACAAACAAACAAAAAAAAAAAAAAAAGAAAGAAAGAAAAGGAAAGTATTTGGCATCTGCCTAATAAGTAATGAAGTCAAGCACTATTTGATGTCTTTTCTTGTTGGTTCAGGTGAACTGTTTATGAATTCTGTATATTAATATACAAAGCTCTTGGCCAGGTGTGGTGGCTCATGCCTATAATCCCAACACTTTGGGAGGCTGATTCAGGACAATGGCTTGAGGCCAAGAATTTGAGGTTACAGTAAGCTATGATAGTGCCACTGCACTCCAGCCTGAGTGACAGAGTGAGACCCTGTCTCTTAAGAAAAAAAAAAAAAATGTTCTTTAACTCAAAAAAAAAACCCAAATCCTCTGCACTGTGGCCAATGAATAATTTCATGGCAGAAGGGTGTTGTGCCCCTCCTTTTACACTAATATATAATTATTACATATTGAACATAATACTGAAGCCCAGTGTATTCACCCATTTGGTGAAGTTGAGATTATAGCCCATGTTTCCTGACAAGCTGTGCACACATCTGTTGGTTCTCATCGGCCTGGCATCCCTTAATCCTACTAACCTCTTCTTTTTTCCTTCTCCATTTCAACCATGGGACTCCGGGGAGGTTACCAATCACATTATTCCCTCCCTTTGGCTACCCAGCCACAAACTGGACCCGTCAATTTATTTCTCCATAAAGCTTGAAACTCAAATGAAAGGCTCCTGAAGTCTCATAGATGTGCCCTGAGAAGAGACCCAGGGTCTCCTGCTGGTAAGGACCTGGAGCTTCCCAGTTTCCTGTCCTTCCAAAGATCATAACCTCTAGCTCTTCCCTCAGTTCTGGAACTATTCAAGAATCCTCTTTCTAATAAACCCCTTCTTCCTTTAGTCAGAGTCAGTTTCTACTGTGTGTTAGTCAGAGAACTAATATAATCCCAATTGTCTTTTTTTCTGCCACCATCAATGAACAAAATGGTAAATTTTAAAATTATTTAATTGCAATATACTTATTTATATTTTATTTATTACATTTTGTAAATAAGATTTTCATGGCCGGGTGCAATGGCTCATGCCTGTAATCCCAGCACTTTGGGAGGCTGAGGTAGGCAGATCACCTGAGGTCAGAAGTTCGAGACCAGCCTGGCCAACATGGTGAAACCCTGTCTCTACAAAAACATAAAAATTAGCTGGACATGGTGGCGCGCACCTGTGGTCCTAGAAACCTCGGAGGCTGAGGCAGGAGAATCGCTTGAACCAGGAGATAGAGGTTGCAGTGAACTGAGATTGTGCCACTGCACTCCTGCCTGGGCAATAAAGTGAGACCGTCTGAAAAACAAAATTGGCTTTTAATTTCTTAAAATTGGCTTAGTTGGTCATTGCATGTTAAAACCATAACTGTAGCTACTCAGAAGGCTGAGGCTGGAGTATCCCTTGAGCCCAGGAAGGAGTGGTTGCAGTGAGCCAGGATCGCAACACTGCACTCTGGTTGACAGAGTGAGATCTTGTCTCAAAAAAAAAAAAAAAATTGTCCGGGCATGGTAACTCATGCCTGTAATCCCAGCGCTTTGGGAGGCTGAGGCGGGTGGATCACCTGAGGTAGGGTATTTGAGAACAGCCTGGCCAACATGGTGAAACCCCATCTCTACTAAAAATACAAAAATTAGCCGGGTATAGTGGTGCATGCCTGTAACCCCAGCTACTTAGGAGGCTGAGGCAGGAGAATCCCTTGAACCCGGGAGGCAGAGGTTGCCGTGAACAGAGATCATGCCACTGCACTCCAGCTTGGCCTGGGAGACAGAGTGAGACTTTGTCTCAAAAAAAAAAAAAAAAAAAAAAAAAAAAAAAAAAAAAAAAAATTAAACGTAATTTAATTTAAAAAACCATAACTGTAAGTTTTTGAAACATGCATCATTTGAGTACCTATATCCCAGGTTTATTTATACTAACAGAGAGCTAGCAACTTAGAAAAACACTTTTATTTCCATCCCTTTGAATCATCTAGTCTAAGGTGAGGCAAAATTTTCTATAAAGAGCCAGATAGTAAATATTTTTGTCTTTGTAGACCACATGGTTTCTCTCATAACTACTCAACTGTTGTTGTAGCCACAGACAGTACATAAATGAATGGGTGTGGCCATGTCTTAATAAATAGACACTGCAATTTTTGTTTTTGTTTTTGAGATGGAGTTTTGCTCTTGTTGCCCAGGCTGAAGTGCAATGGTGCGATCTAGGCTTACTGCAACTTCCGTCTTCTGAGTTCAAGTGATTCTTCTGCCTCAGCCTCCCAAGTAGCTAGGATTACAGGCGTGTGCCATCACATCTGGCTAATTTTGCACTTTTAGTAGAGAAGGGGTTTCTCCATATTGATCAGGCTGATCTTGAACTCCGGACCTCAGGTGATCCACCCACCTTGGCCTCCCAAAGTGCTGGGATTACAGGAATGAGCCGCCCGACCCGGCCTTTTTTTTTTTTTTTTTCCTGAGATGGAGTTTCACTCTTGTTGCCCAGGCTGGAGTGCAATGGCAGGATCTCGGCTCACTGCAACTTCTGCCTCCCAGATTGAAGCGATTCTCCTGCCTCAGCCTCTTGAGTAGCTGGGATTACAGGCACGTGCCACCACGCCTGGCTAATTTTTGTATTTTTAGTAGAGACGGGGTTGGCCAGGCTGATCTCGAACTCCTGACCTCAGGTGATCTGCCCGCCTCCGCCTCCTAAAGTGCTGGGATTACAGGTGTGAACGACTGCACCTGGCCGACACTGCAATTTGAATTTTATATAATTTTCAGGTGTCGTGTCATAATATATTCTTCTTTGATTTTTTTAAAAAGACCATTTAAAAAATGTCAAAATGATTCTTAGTTTTCAGGCCATAGTGGCCAGATTCATTCTATGGGGCACACTTTACCAACTTCTGCTCTAATCTCCTGACTGATTATACATTATTATTATTATTATTATTTGAGACGGAGTCTTGCTCTGTTGCCCAGGCTGGAGTGCAGCGTTTGATCTTGCCTCCGCCTCCTGGGTTTAAGCGATTCTCCTGCCTCAGCCTCCCGAGTAGCTGGGATTACAGGCACGCACCACCACTCCCAGCTAATTTTTGTATGTTTATTTTTGTATTTTATTTATTTATTTATTTATTTATTTTTGAGATGGAGTCTTGCTCTGTTGCCCCGAGTTGAGTGTAGTGGCACGTTCCAGCTCAGCCTCCTGAGTAACTGGGACTACAGGCGAGTGCCACCATGCCTGGCTAATTTTTGTATTTTTAGTAGAGACAGGGTTTCGCCATGTTGGTCAGGCTGGTCTCAAACTCCTGACCTTAAATGATCCACCCACCTCAGCCTCCCAAAGTGCTGGGATTATAGGCATGAGCCACCAGGTCTGGCCTGATTATACTTTATTGAGCAGAAGAAATAGTGACTTCTTAAATTCAGATTATAAAATAATTGGCACTATTTATGGAATAAATAGTAACTTATTTGTCTCCTAAATTGATGAGAATATACTCAAGGATATAAGTATAAAATAGGAACTGGATAAATTTTTTCTTATTCCCAGGAATTCCTATGTAACATAGCAGAACGTAAAAAGATCATACCATATACTAAATTTCTTTGTAGTTGTTTTGGGACTATCTAATTTTATAGCATACTAATTAAACATTTATTGTTAACATAGAATCAAGGAAAATAAGGGGCTTTAAGATGTAAATCACTTAGTCACTTACAATAATAATGATACCTTAGATTTATACAGCATTTGCTAGTTTACAAAAATTATAGTTTTATATGTTATCTCTTATGATCCTCACAACAACCCTGGAGGTAGACAGGCAAGGTCTTATTATCCTAATTTAAAGAAGATCAA